ACTTACACAGTGTAAGACAACACGAAATCGCCCCAATATGACGGAAGACTTGAATTGGCCAAGCAAAACAAGTCTGAAACCTCGATCCCCGCGAAGGAGGATGTCGGCTCTTCACGAATGACCCGCGAAGGGACCAAACGAGGATATAGCAGAACCACGAATTTCCTAAAACCTCGATCCCCGCGAAGGAGGATGTCGGCTGTTCCCGAATGACCCGCAAAGGGATCAATCAGGGACACAGAAAGCACACAGCACACATGCTCACCCCCAAAAGAAAAAACCGCGGAGGAAGATGCCGCGGGAGCCTCTCTCTCACTGTGCTGCGAAAGGGAGCGACTCCTATGAAATCGTGGTCGACGCGGAGACATGGAGAACCTGCAATGAAAATCGACGGGTCAGGTACAATCATAAATCTGAACACCCGAAAATTAAAAGGGAAATTAAGAAATTTAACTAAAATTCTATAAAATAAATAGGATTTTATAGTTGAAGTCTAATTAAACCTATGAGTTTTATGCATGCAAAATAATGAGCTCATTTTGCGGTGTAAACCCTCATGATAAATTTTTGGTGAAATACCCAAAACACCGCTCGTGTTCAAGGCTAAATTCTAATCAAGGACACGCTCGAATTGGATCATGATCATTATGTTTGTTCACCTAACACCCCCAATACCTCACAAGTTTGGCTAATTTTATAAATAAACCCTTCTGTAAAATTTGGCCAATTTTGCAAATAGACCCCTCTACAAATTTCGGTCTAGTTTCCGCATACTCTTCTCAAAATTTTGGTCATGGATTTATAGTTTAAACTTTGGAAATTTCAGCCCTAAAATTTTAGCCCTTTTTGCAAATAGACCCCTCTACAATATATGGTTGCCTTTTTTGCAATTAAACTGCTCAACAATGTCGATTCTTTTGTATGAAAACATCCCTCAAAGTTTGGTCAAATGGGTGTGAAATTTCAGTCCCAAATTTCAGTCCACTTTTGCACAAAAGTCCCCAAATTTCAGTTCACTTTTGCACAAAAGTCCCTAAATTTCGGCCATATTGCACTTATTGCATAAAACACCCTAAATTTTGGTCCATACATACAATCCATCATCAAGATCCTATCTTTTTCACAAAACCTAACTCATGAGAACAAAAAACTATGATCTTTGCATATAATGATCTCGGCATATAAATTCATGTCATACCCCATTACAAGCATAAAATTGTAATCTTTCTTAAAAAAGAGGAGAGTTTTGAAGGAGAACTTACCCAAATCAAGAAGCCTCCTTTGAGCTTGAAGATGAAGAAAAAACCCTAGCTTGAGAGGAGGGATTTTCGGCCAAATGAGGAGGATATAAAATCCGAATTTTATTTGGGGTTGAGAGGTTTTAAAGGGGAGAGTTTTAATGGGTTTGGAGTTCTTAAAGGATAAGAACAATGGTGTTTGGATAAGAGGAGGAAGAAGATGGAGTTTAAGGGGGAAAAGGACTTTCTTTTTGAAATTTGAAGGAGGGAAAAGTGCACCATACAAAAGAAAACAAAAAAGGGGGGAGACACAAGAGTGTCTCGGTTTTTGAACCGAGACACCCTAGGGTGTCTCGGCCTTGGCCAAGACACCCAAGGGTGTCTTGGCCAAGGTTGAGACACCCACGAGTGTCTCAACCTAGTTCGAGCCCCCGGTTGTGTTTTTCAAGCCCGAATTTCGCTCGTCTTCATCGGTTATTGGATATTTCGACCAAATCAACACTAATCGACACTGGACGATCCTAAACCCTAAGGTCAACGCCGGTCAACGCGTAACCCTAGGTCAACGTCAGTCAACGCGTTGTAACCAAAAGTCAACGTATGGCGATTTAAACCCTAAGGTCAATGTCGGTCAATACGTGACCCTAAGTCAACGCCAGTCAACTCGTTGCAACCAAAAGTCAACGTATGGCGATTTAAACCCTAATGTCAACGCCGGTCAATGCGTGACCCTAGGTCAACGCCAGTCAACGCGTTGCAACCAAAAGTCAACATATAGCGATTTAAACCCTAAGGTCAACGCCGGTCAACGCGTGACCCTAGGTCAACGCCAGTCAACGTGTTGCCGTGAAAAGTCAACGTATGACGAGTTAAACCCTAAGGTCAACGCCAGTCAACGGGTTGCAACCAAAAGTCAACGTGCGGCGTTCAAACCCTAAGGTCAACGCCGGTCAACGCGTAACCCTAGGTTAACGCCAGTCAACGCGTTGCAACCAAAAGTCAACGTACGACGTTCAAAACCCTAAGGTCAACGCCGGTCAACGCGTAACTCTAGGTCAACGTCAATCAATGCGTTGCAATGAAAGAGTCGATGCGACGGAGAGGGTCAGTTCTAAGTCAACGCGATGACACGAGCCAAACTCAACTCGTCAGTTTTAGACTCGAGACTCTAACGACGGCCAGACGATAAACGCAGCGCCGGAAGGACTTCAGCTATTCGTCAAAGCATCGAATAGACTGAAAATCGAAGGAGCCAAGAGTCGAAGCTAACTACAGGTCCTTTATACCGATCGAAGGCTGGACCAATCACATCCAAAGTATTCCAGCCTCTTCTATAAAAGAAATGAGTCTGGAACGCTTTGGAGGGGGTATCTGTAGGCATCAAAAATTACCTATAGGTCTATACGAACGGCTCAGCGCTAAGAAAAGACGATGAACGTCACTATCCAATTCACAGGAGCTTGATTGACGTCGACGAACGTCTAAAGTGGATCGACGAACTACGTGGAGTAACGGAGTTTCAAAATAAAGAGGATATGAACTGATTGGGAGTCCCGCGTCGCTTACAAAAGACGAAACGATGCTCTTATCCCAGCTTAATCCACAATGATCTAATCATCAGAGCTTATAGAACTCCCCGTCGGCTTTCCAACGTACTTTGAATCACTCAAATCCGAGTTCGGACGAAGAAATTATGGCGGAAACGGACAAGTACACGGAAAAGGACGTCTCAGCCTGAGTTGAGACACCCCGAGGTGTCTCGGCACAAGCGAGACACCCCAAGGTGTCTCGACCTCGCTGAGACACCCAGGGGTGTCTCCAGGCCTAAAAAACGGGCTTTTATGTAGTTTCAACCACCTGAACTCCCCCGAGCCTATAAATACAGCCTCAGGCCCTCATTTTTCTGGATCTGAAATTTTGGAGAATAGGCGAAGCCCTGCCGGATTGAAGATTGATCGAGTTCTTCAACGTTAGAGAGAGATTCTTCAGATCTGCACCACCCGCATCCGATCCTTAGGATTATCCCGTTGCGATAATCCTAAGAAGAGCAATTATCTCGCCGTTGCCGAGATAAGCGCTTCTGCTTCTAGATTCCTTCGCAAATCGACGGAGTTCTGGATCTGATCTGATTATCAGGTAGTCCACGGATATCGACGTCCCCGTCACCGGCTAAAGACCCACGCAAGCAAGAAACGACGAACGGATCTTGCGTTATTTTCGAGAAAGTTGTAATCTTTCATTTTCTTTTGTTAAAATTTGAATTCTTTGTAAACGATTGATATTATAATGAATTCAGCAATGAAGGCAACTTTTACCGAAAACACCAACTTAAATAGAATGAAAAGGGGCTTAGAATGGTACAATATTTGTACTATTTCATTTTCAAAAAATGATGGAAGCTTGAAAGTTCAAGTAGAGGATAAGCTTACATGATTTTAGAAAATAAAAAGGTGCAATTAAGTTTTTCTATCTGGGTTAAGGCCAAACCAGAATCTTCTACTACACAAAAAACTTGTGAGCTATGATTTAAAGTTGTCACTTACTGACAAATACAATTAGTTCTACATGAAAGGCAAACTGATTGCAGAGTTAAAAATTCTTTTTCTCGATGCTAGTTAATATCAACTGTCTCAGAGATCTGCTATACAATATTAACCCCCATCTACTCTACCACTACGCAACAGCTTCTACTTTTTAGTGGTTCCTATTTCAAAATACTTCAAATTTTTAGGGTAATTTCACCAACGGGGGCGTTTCCCACGAAACCCCCAAGCTTTTTTTATTCTCCATCAAGCCTTTGACTGAACTTAATTTAAGGTGTTGGCTCTAAGTAGCCGAAGGGTTCCCAGTAGTCTGTCCCAATTTAAATTTGATGCTATACTCACTGAATACATCCACAATATTCAAGCTGCAAGGAAACTAAATTATGACAACCAATAAACAATAATGGATACCCACAAGCTCTAGATAACTGGCAATAGAAAATGTTTGTTGTTTGAACTGAACCAGATATTTAACAAATAATTTGAAATTTTATTCGCTTAAATATTTGTGCATATTTGATTCGGTTCATTTAACAATAAACAAATAGTTTTAATTTGAGGGCTCAATAGAAACTTAAGACAAGCCACAGGGGCCTACTGAACTCTGAGTTCCATTTTTTGTCTCAATAAAAATTAAAGGGCTCTAATGATTTCCTCATTGTCATCTCTGGGCCAAGATAGCGCAATGTGTGGAACTTGTAACGTGCTAAGCTCAAACCTGCTTCAATTAGTATTTGTTTGGTTGCAAAAGAAATGGTAAAAAAAAGTAGTATGTATACAATTAAAACCTGATTCCTACTAAGTCTCAGCCAACGCGGACAACCTTAATTTAAGAAAACTTTCTCCTTTCACTTTTTCATTTGTTTTTTTGAAGGAAATGAAATGCAGCGCACACTTTTTACAGTGTATTATACACTTATTAATGATTATATACATTGCTAATGATTATAGACACTGCACCCATGACAGGAATTCTATATAAAATGCACATCATGTATTATGAAATATGAGCTGATGTTATGGAAATAGCATATATTAATGCTATAACAACCACTTCATCTGTCACAAAGCCTGGCTTCTACTAAATAAGAATCTCTCATTGGTTATGGAGTCATTATTTTAAGCAAGAAGCATGTGAAATGGAGGTGATATGAGCTCTCTAGCATGGGATAGAAAGTGACCCCATCTTTTTTTAGAATGGGAAAAAGATGCCCAACAATGCAAACTGCACAAATCACCGACCTCCACCACTCTCTGAATTCAAATCTCATTAATATTTCCCCTTGTAGTTCTGTATTTATGTAGAAGCTCATGACTCACTTACGCTAGACATTTTCCTTTATGTTGCTGATACCTGTCAAGCCAAGGAGACTATGCAGAAGGGAAGCGAAGTTGCGAAAAACACCATGATAAAGATTGGAAAGGTTCCGGCGTCAGCGTGTAAAACTTTATTGAAGTTGGGCAGAGACGACCCAAGGAGAGTTATTCATAGTTTGAAGGTTGGAACTGCTTTAACACTGGTTTCCTTCCTCTATCTCTTGGAGCCTTTGTTCGAAGGAGTTGGTCAGAATGCAATGTGGGCTGTTATGACTGTCGTCGTTGTTCTAGAATTTACAGCAGGTGGCTTGCTTTTCTTATTCATGAAACTTAAAACTTATGTTAGAGATATTAATTGACTCCTTAATTTGCTTTCCTGAATATCGAAATTTCAGGTGCAACTCTTTGCAAGGGGCTTAACAGAGGGTTGGGGACAATTTGTGCTGCCTCATTAGCTTTTTTCATAGAATTTGTCGCAGAAAAAACTGGACACAAAAGCCGAGCTGTTTTTATAGGAACATCAGTCTGTGTAGTAGGTACTCTTTTTTCTGTAATGATTTATATTGTTCAAGATGATGAATATTATTATCTTGCTGAAAGCATCAATTGATCGAGTTGATTCATGTAGGTTTAATTCTAGGATCAATTGCACATAGACCCCTTGTAATGTCGCTGTTTTGAACTTATTGCGACTATAGTTTCACTGTTGCAGATGGACCCCTGGGTTAATTTCTTTGACCCCTCTTACCTGTGTGAAATTTTGGCTGATGTTGTCCCTGGGTAAAATACCGAGTTTATTTGAGGGTAAAAGAGTAAAAAAAAAAGTTTTACCTCAGGGTTCAATCTGTAACAATGAAACTAAAGATGTAGTAAGTTCAAGTTCGAAACATTGATAATATAGGGAGTCCATGTGCAATTAACATTGAATTGTAGTAGATGCTAATAATGTGCTATCAAAATGATCTGATAAACTACCATTTTCATTTCAAGCGCAACACAGAGTTTCTGTTTTCCACACAACCTGAACTTTTTCCCCCTTTATAGGATTCACGGCCACATATTTAAGATTTGTTCCATACATAAAGAAAAACTATGATTATGGGGTGTTGATCTTTCTACTAACCTTCGGTCTGATAACGGTATCAAGTTACCGTGTGGAAAATGTGCTCAACATAGCTAGAGAGCGCATCTACACCATTGCCATTGGTTGCAGCATCTGCCTGCTCATGAGCCTCTTGATTCTACCAAATTGGTCTGGTGAAGATCTTCATTGTTCAACTGTTAGCAAACTCGAAGCTTTAGCAAGATCAATTGAAGGTACACAATAACATAAATTCATTTATAATAGAATGCTTCATAAAGACAATAACATAAATTCAATTTTTAATAGAATGCTTCATAAAGACAATACTATGTTTATGGCCTGCAGCTTGTGTCAGTGATTATTTCAGTGATAAAGATAAGGAAGTCATAGAAGAGGAAGCAGAGACAGCCAGAGATTCAATATACAGAGGGTATAGGGCAGTTATGGATTCTAAATCAACTGATGAAAATCTTGTAAGTTCATTCTACAAAATAAAAAGAAAGATCTTCTCTAAATCTCATAACTTAACCCTTTGGAGGTTTACTCTGACTTTTATTAGGCTGGAAGCCTTCCTTTTCTCGTCCCTGGAATTGTTTCGTTAAATACTTAATAATGAAACACATGGAACCCTATTCCCACCTTTATTTCCCACAAGAAAAAAATATCTAGAATTTTACGTGATGCTTGGTGATGGGCAGGCACATTTTGCCAACTGGGAGCCGAGGTTCTCGAAAAACTGTCATAGATATCCATGGCACTTATATGTGAAGCTAGGGGGAGTTCTTAGACACTTTGGATATATAGCAGTCGCCCTTCACGGATGTCTAGAATCAGAAATTCAGGTATTTATACAACTATAAGAGCAAAACTAGAATAAATTTAAGTGCACTACTGGCTCTGTCCTCCAACTTTTTATCCCTTGGTTTTGTTTTAAGATTTATGCTGGTGTGCCACATATCAAAGCATGCATCTCAAAATTAGAGTTGAAATGTATCACACACCAATACGAATCGCAAAGTAAATCCAACGGATAAAATGCATGGTGGACAGAGAGTTATATTCATTTAAGTTTATTCTAGCTTATATTTCCTTCAGTTCGCTTATTTTGGGACTGTACCACCAGAGTCTTGATGAATCGTGGTTTATTCCTTGTTCATGTATATGTTGCAGACACCTAGATCAGTTCGCTCTCTATTCAGAGATCCATGCACCCGAGTAGCCACAGAAGTGTCAAAGGTTCTTCTAGAGCTAGGCACAAGCATCAAGAACCGTCGCCGTGTCTCTCCTGATGTGCTCTCAGATAACCTCCATAAGGCTTTACACGACCTTGACATTGCAATAAAATCACAACCAAGGCTCTTTCTAGGCTCCAACAGTGCAAACAATATGCTCGCTAATTGGAAGAACGATAAAGAAATGTCCCCGAGAGTCACATTACCTTCGGTTAAGACCGATGTTTCAGCATTACTGTCAGAATTGAGGAACAAGAAAGTACCAGAGCAGTCCAAGGATTCAAAGGAGAGGAAGCAACTGAGACCGACGCTGAGTAAGCTTGCAATCACGAGTCTTGAATTCTCGGAGGCTCTGCCCTTTGCAGCCTTTGCTTCTTTGCTAGTGGAAATGGTTGCAAGATTGGACCTTGTCATCGAACATGTTGAAGAATTGGGCAAGGCTGCAAATTTCAAAGAATTTACAGGAATAAAAGATGATCTGGTAATTGATATGAGTTGCAAAGAGAATGGCAGAGAAATGCAGAATCAGACTCAGGTAGGGGAGTGAGGACAAGAGGGGGTTCAAATTGTTATCCATTGCATTAGCCATCATAATGTACAAGTTTATCCCGACATAACATATTTCACAAAGCCCTTTGCTGCTCTGTCTGCTTTGACTTTCACTCATATCTGGTTCTCTGTTACGAGATTTGTCTCATGCAGCATCATCAATCTCTACTTGCTTGTGCTTACTGTGATTTCAACTTGTCCTCTTGCCTCCATTGCATGAACGATTCAATTTTGTGGAAATAAAAGAAGCAACAAATTGTATCACACTCCTTTACCAACAAGGTTGTTTGTGCTTTCCACGCTCAGCTTGAGGTGGAGCGTTGACGAACTCAAGTTTTTTGAGTTTTTTGTTATAACCGACTCTATCTAGTTTCCTATCGTTTAGGTATATTTATGTTATGAATAGCTCTATGTTGTTGCATCCAAAACTGTATGTACCACATTGACAATGAAAACAATGATACCTTTTGTCATCCATATTTTGATGTCTACATCACCACCTTTTATATGAGCATTGGTTCTGTGTGAATCTGTACTTTAAGTATCCACTTGGTTCCTAACATAAAAAATAGAGTGTCTCAGTAAATTGATAGACAATATTATACTTTCACATATAGAAAAGTTCTGCCAGTCGACGGTGACATTTTTGAACAGGTGTTCTCTAGGTATACTAACCACTGTAGTCTTAACTTATAAATAATTTCAAACTAATTAAGAGAGTATAATCCACCTTTCTCCTTCCTACTATAATATCTTGAGCAAATGTTTTTTAGTTCTGAGAAGCTTCTCAACAGTTTAGTCCATCATCATAACTGTAGCTTAGATAGAATCTAATTAAAGCTATATTCTTTAAATTGCTCGTCAATATATACTCCCTAATAATAGAGTAACCAAAAAACAACCTGAAATCTAATATAGAAATGTCGTGGTTGAAAATTGAGACAATACCTTAATGAAGCCATCCAGTCTCCAGGCTGGCGATCGAGAGCTGTAAAGGACATTGCATCATTTCCCCCAAAATTTTTGCTACATGTGAATCTTATAAACCCACAAATTGAAGTCAGCAAGAAAACGATGCAAGTTGGCAAAAGCTCAATCTTAGAACAACTGGGCCAAGTGATATTTTTTCTGCTTCTTTTTTCCTTAGCTTTAAAAGGCATTGCTTTATGCTGCTGATGGGAGGTTCTTGATTAAATTCTCGTGAAGCAGTTGCAAATGTTGGATATTTGCTATAGGATGGCTGGCTGTAAGAAGAAAATATGCCAAATGTTATAATTTGCATTGTACCGTTATGATTTTGTTTGGAACTCGAATTTTATCGTTGAAAAAAATGCCCCCAGACATTGACGACAGTGAGATCAATGATGTTAGATTTAGGCAGTCAGATATATTTTTCCCAAGCAATGATAATAAACTTAATTGGCCAAGGATTGCATGAATCAAGTTCTGCAGGAGCTGATATAAGCTTTTACATAGGATGTAGCCTGACATGCTATCTGGATAAAAGTGAACAGTTACCTCATCAGGATCCAGGCTAAGCTTCAAACAGCAGACATTCAAGTTTTACCATACTTTTTTAATTTGTCTCTTTCCTCAATGAATACAATTAGAGCCCACAATTGGATGCCATTTAAGTACCTACATTAGTTACATGGTACCATGTATTGTTTCTATAATGTTTTAAAGTTGTTATATACTCACAAATACGTTTGTCTGCTAATGCTTAATTTTTTGTATAATTTTCTATGTTAAAAACAACCAGGTTTAGACCTAAAAATTCTTCCTCTCCTATTAAGATACTAAATAATAGCAATAGTCTAAGAGATTGGCTTACAGAAGTATACAATAGAATACTACCTACCTACTTTGGCACTTGTAGGAGCTTCTCCCCTTTCAGAGCTGGAAGTACTTAAATATGATCAAGCTTCCGTTCTCCCTTCACTTCGTCATTTGTTTTGTCATGGAAATTGAGACGCAGCATACACTTTATACGGTGTATTCTATGCTGACTAATAATTTATACATTGCATGTATGACATAGATGAAAAATCTTCTTCAGCAACCCACATAATATGTTGACGTATACCTATATATGAGGTGATCTTATAAAAATAGTACAGATTAATGCTATAACATTCAATTATACTTCTTCTAAGCTTGGCCTCAAGAATCTCTTATTAGTTGTGGCGTCATTAGTTTAAGCAAGAAGCATGTGAAATGAAAATGATACGAGCTCTCTATAGCATGAGTAGAAAGTGACCCGCCTTTTTTAGAAGAAAAAAGGGTTACCCAACAGTGCAACTTGCACAAACTATCAACTCTACTACTCTCTCCTTTCATTTAAGAGAGCCATCTCCCAATTCAAATATCATTATTTTCCCTTGTAGTGGTTCTGTATGTATTCAACATGATTTCTTATGCTACCTTCACCTTCATTAAGAGATACTAGTTAAGTCGGGGAGAAATGTCGAAAGAATAGCAAAGCTGTGCAAAATATGATGATAAAATTTAGAAAGCTTCCTGCTTCAGCATGTAAAACTTTATGGAAGATGGGCAGAGAGGACCCGAGAAGAGTCATTCATGGCTTAAAGGTTGCAGCTGCTTTGACAATAGTATCATTCCTATATCTTTTAGAGCCTTTGTTCGAAGGATTCGGTAAAAATGCAATGTTAGCCTTCATGACTGTTGTCGTTGTTCTTGAGTTTACTGCAGGTGAGTGAATCTAGAGCCTAGTCATCGAATTTATGTTACATACATATATTATGATTCCTTTCTTGGTTTTTGTCGTATGTCGAAATGTTAGGTGCAACTCTGTGCAAGGGATTTAACAGAGGATTAGGGACACTTTGTGCTTCCTCGTTAGCTTTCTTCATAGAATTTGTTGCAGAAAAAACTGGACAAAAGTGCCGTGCTGCTTTTGTAGGAGCATCTGTCTTTGTAATAGGTACTTTTTTTCTGCACGGATAATATTTTGGGTTCCCCCCTTAAACCACCTTTAAAATAGAGCCATAGTACAGAAATCACCTTTGAATGTCAAATAATACATAAATTCCCATAAATGCCCTTGAAAAACTTGCATTCAACGCACACAACTCATTTAGTTAACATCTAGATCTGATTAGGATGCAAGTCATGTACACTGACTGAGTTTTTAAGGATGTTTTTTGGATTTTCAGTGAAAATATGGCTGGGAGCCAATTGATTGCACCACAAATCCTCTTTAAAGATGGTTAATGTATCAATTGACATTCAAAGTTGGTTTCTATATAGTGACCCCATACTAAAGAGGTAAGAATCCTAATTTTCTATTAGTAATCCTAATTAATAAATATTAAAAAGTGAGAGGACCTTCATGCATACAATGTCTGTAATTATAGTAATATATAATTACTATAATTACAGACATTGTATGCATAAAGGTCATCTAACTTTTCAATATTTATAAATTAATAAAACTAAAAGAAAACTAGGTTTCTTACAAAAGGTGGTTTCTCGGGAAAAAAATCCTTATAATTTTTAAGATCATATAAATTATTTTCCTGAAGAACTGATGCAGGATTTAACTTCCACATTCATTTTCTGTGCATTTCTATCTTTTTTTTTCCTTTTTAGGGTTTATGGCAACATATTTACGATTTGTCCCATACATAAAGAAAAACTGCGATTATGGGGTGTTGATCTTTTTGCTAACCTTCATTTTGATAACGCTATCAAGTTACCGTGTTGAAAATGTTCTCAACATAGTACGAGAGCGCCTCTACACCATTGGCATTGGTTGTAGCATTTGCCTGCTCATGAGCCTCTTGATTTTGCCAAATTGGTCTGGTGAAGATCTTCATAGTTCAACAGTCTGCAAGCTTGAGCAGTTAGCAAGGTCAATTGAAGGTACATAATCACATAAGTTCGATTCTAAATATAAGAGAATATTATCAGCAAAGCTTACAGAATAAGACTTGCAGCTTGTGTCAGTGATTATTTCAAAGACAAAGATATAGGAGTAAAAGAAGAGGAAGCAGAGACATCCAGAAATTTATTATACAGGGGTTACAGGGAAGTCCTGGATTCTAAATCAAGTGACGAAACTCTTGTAAGTTTATTCCTTGACAAACCCACTAATTTTTGACACCATGTCACTAATAATGATGAAGATCTGCAGGCACATTTTGCTAGCTGGGAGCCGAGGTTCTCAAGAAACTGTCATAAATATCCATGGCACTTATATGTGAAACTTGGGGGTGTTCTTAGACGATTTGGATATGTTGCGGTAGCTCTTCATGGATGTTTAGAATCAGAAATCCAGGTATATGGCTAGCAATATTTCCTTAGGAAGCTGTCAACAAAAAAATGAACATGCTTAAAAACGGAAGTTTGTTTTTGAACTGAATCATAGTTTTCTCCCCCTTCCTGCATATTTTCAGACACCAAGATCAATTCGTTACATCTTCCAAGATCCATGCACCCAGGTAGCCACAGAAGTGACAAAGGCTCTCACAGAGTTAGCTACAAGTCTAAAGAATCGTCGTCGTTTTTGTCCTGATATGCTCTCAGATCACCTACACAAAGCACTACAGGACCTTGACACTGCCATAAAATCCCAACCAAGGCTCTTCCTAGGCTCCAAGAGTGCAAATAACATGCTTGTTAATTGGAAGAACGATAAAGAAACATCCCCAAGGGTTACATTACCTTCAGTTAAGAGTGACATTTCAGCAATACTATCAGAACTGAGGCATAAGAAAATAGCAAAACGTTCGAAAGATTCAGAGGAGAGGAAGCAACTGAGACCGACACCGAGTAAGCTAGCAATCAAGAGTCTTGAGTTCTCAGAGGCTCTCCCCTTTGCATCCTTTGCTTCATTGCTTGTGGAGATGGTAGCAAGATTGGATCTTGTTATTGAACAGGTTGAAGAATTGGGCAACGCTGCAAATTTCAAAGAGTTCCAAGGGAAAGATGATGTTGTAATCGATATGAGTGGTAAAGAGAATGGCAGAGAAATTCAGAATCAGACTACGGTAGGGGAGTGAGGAGAAGAGGAGAATCAACTGTTGTCTGTTGCATTAATTATAGTGATGTACAACTTGAATGAGAAGGAACATATATGGTCGTAATATTGCTCGTCTAAGAAAAATATTTGGATTTTTCTCCACACAATCCTGCAAGCTCTAGCTTTGACGAATTCTTCTTATCATCAAATAAGAAGAAATCCAACCAAGCAAAAGCTCTTTCTGTTGCACATTATTTTGATCATTGTTATTTCCCAAAATACAAAACTACTATAATTCCAATACTATGCTCCTTATATTCTAACCAATGGGCATCGTAGATTACTGATCAATAGCCACTGAAAATTTTAAGGAAATACCGCATGTATACTGCAGAAGAGAAAAACATTCAAAAATGTTATAAATCCATAAGCAACAAAGTTGTAAAAGACACACCACCAGGTAGTGACAAGAGAGCATGAAACCTCTAAATTGTCATGTATGTTGTGAGATCTAACGCTTTTCTATGTATCAGTTTGCATATAAAGAAAGAGTTTCAAACTTTCATCAGGAAGCGAGAAAATAAATATTAGATCTCCTCCAATGAGTATGCCAGAATTTGTACCTGTCATGCAGTCCCGGTGACCTCTGCCTCCTCCAACAGTCACACAGCACATGCCCGGATTTTGTACAGTAATCATGGATGATATCCCTCCTTGAAGCAAGAACAGCAGAAACGCTCTTGCTGGCAAATCCGCCACCTCCACCACTACCTCCTCTCGTGAATCTGTCAGCCGAAATTCTTGAAAGAGAAAAAGGGCATGAGCCACACCACTCAAATCGTTCACCGAAAGTTGGGCACCGTTTTGAAGAAAAAAATTATTAAAAAAATTATGAATAGTGATTTCTCGGATGCTATAAATAAGTCTAAAACTCTTTAGGAAAAATCCATCCCAGAAACAACAACTCCACCTATAGAAGAGTGAGAGAAAATCCGATGCATGTATTCATGGTTTCGGTGCGTCTCAATACGAGAACAATTTACATAGTTCACCCCCTTGGTTTCCCATGTCATCCCCAAGTCGTCCATCACACTATTCCTATCATTCACAACCTATTTGACCTATCTTCACTTCCATTCATGTGAACTCATCATGCTCTGAAGACATGCCAGACATTCCCATATTATCGTTCACCATTGCGTACGTACAACTTGTCTCTGGTCAGCTGACATGGCACTAGTCTAATCGCGTTATCGAGTCTGAGTCTCGTCAGCATCACACACTAGTGTTGTGAAAATCGTATGTATATACGTCGAAGTACTTCTCGTGTTATCATTATTGGTTGTCAGTCATAGTGTTTGGGGCTATAGTATGTCATGTGAAACTACTAAGCAAAGCAAATATACCGCGCGAAATACAAAATTGGGTGTTGAGCTCAAACCGTCGTCGGCTTCAAGCTCCTCCGCCCAAAACATCGCACCCAGGTGCCGATTAGGCTCCTAGAGCACCGTTCCCCCACTCCATTTATTTCAAACCCTAGCCCCTAAAATCTCCTCTCAAACTCGACGGCCTCCCCTCATCACCGAAGTCCAATCTCCTCATCTCTAATGGTTCCTCGATTTCCGTGCCGAGCAGCTGTATAATAGAGAAGAACGTGCGTCTCCGGCCACCGGATCAACTTCGCCACTGTGATGATGTAGTAGGACTTCTCGGCGTTATCATTCGGACCACTTAGGAGCTGAAGGTGGTCAATAGAAAAGGCTTAATTGCACTTAAATACCCTATAGTTTTTCCTGTTTTGCGTCACTTGTTTTCGATTATACCCTAAGGTTTTTAAAACTTATATATCTTACTAAAGTTTTTAAAACTTATACTTATATGCTCTCACTTGTTCTCTGCAACACTTATATGCACTAAAGATTTTAAAACTTGCACTTAAATGCCCTAAAATTTTTAAAACTTACACATAAATATATAAAAGTTTTTAAAACTGGCACTTAAATATCCTCAATTATGCAAAACACGAGAATTTTCCCACATGCTAATTTTAAAACTTTATTAAATTTATTATTAAAACTACCATTAATTCTATATTAAACCTACCATAATTTTACTTTAAAATAGGACTTAGATATGTTTAAGAGTAAATTTACCAAGTCTTAATAGTTAAAAATGTTCTAAAATTATCATGTGAGGTCGCATGAGAATTTTCTGAGGGAAATTCTCGATTTGCATAAGTTAGAATATTTAAATGCAAGTTTTAAAATCTTTAGGGTATGTAATTGCAAGTTTTAAAAACTTTAAGGTATTAATTGCAACGTTTAAGAACTTTAGGGCATATAAGTGCTGCCAAAAACAAGTGAGGATAGATAAGAGTTAGTTTTAAAAAGTTTAGGGTATATAGCTACAGCCAAAAATAAGTGAGGGTATATAAGTGCAAAGTAGGGGAAAGTATAGGGCATTTAACTACAATTAAGCCACAAAAGAAGTGGTACAGATTTTCTCATATGAAAATTGTATTCGTTTCTAATAATTCAAAATTATTTCACACTGGAACTTTTTATGTGTTTTTTTTTCAAAAGAACTTACTTTTGCATACTATTTTTTTTTTAAATCCTTCTAAATTTAGATTTTTAAAAAAATTCTTGACTTTTTTTTACTATTTTTCAAAGTAAGTAATGATTTAGAACACATTGTCAATAAGTTTATGGAGTAATTAAACTGCCAAAAGCCTAAAAGGAGAGGCCAAAATAGTCTTTGATTTGCATTTCCATAAAGAAAGGACCATATCTCCAAATCAGTACTACTCAGATTCAAACATATAATTGTTACGCGCCGTGCGGAAGCGTGCTCGACAACCAAACGAGTCGGTGAGCGATGAGAGAAGAAAACCAAAACCAAACACGAGCACAATTCACAAAATAACGACCAAAATCACACACAAACACAGGAATTTACGTGGTTCGACAATTGCCTACGTCCACGGGGAGAGGATGAGGATATTTCACTATATGGAGGAGAAATACAATGGGTTACAACTCACAAAATTACTCAAATATAACCCTAACCAAAGCTCTCAACTCCCGCACAATATCTCCCTCTCAAAGTGTTCAAAACAATGCTAATTCTCTCCTTTTCTCTCCTTAAAAACCCTAAAAAACGTGGTTCTATTTATAACAAAACCTAATCCCAAATAGATTAGGATTCTAAAAATAAGTCTGCCATACCCTGGTGTGGCACACACCACACCCATGGCAAACAGGGTAGATTCTGCCACACCAGGATGTGGCAGACACCACACCCATGGCAGACAGGGCAGATTCTGCCACACCCATGACAGACACCACACCAGGGTGTGGTGAAGTCTGTTTTGGGTTTTTCTTTACGATTTTCACAATTCCTTCGCCGTTTTCACAATTCTCCATCTCGGCGAAGTATTCCCAACACTGAGCCGACACCAACATGAGCATCAATGCGTCGTCTCTCTAAACTCGGCTGCACCAATATGGTTGCCTACGTACCCCCTCTTCCAAGGAATCAAGCCACCCGTAGTTCATCCAAATGGCCATCAATGGCCTCAACAATCATGAATATGCAACAAGTTTCGACAATGATCAAACTTGTTACTCGGAACCACTTTAGTAAGCATATCCGCCGGATTATCCTTCGTGTGGACTTTCACAATCTCCACATCGCCATCTTCAAGAACATCCCGAACGAAGTGATAACGAACGTCTATGTGCTTCGTCCTCGCATGAAAAACCTGATTCTTCGCCAAATAGATAGCACACATGCTATCACAATGAATAGTGACGGACCGCTGCGATATACCAAGTTCCTCCAAAAGTCCTCGAAGCCAAATAGCCTCCTTCACAGCCTTCGTAACCGTCATATACTCTACCTCCATCGTAGACAAAGCCACCGTAGATTGTAAGGTACATCTCCAACACACCGGCGCACGGGTCAAAGTAAACACATACCCCATAGTAGACCGGCACTTATCCAAAATCCCCGGCATAATCTGAATCCACATATCCAATGCACAACTGTCCACCTGTAGTGTACCACTCATAAATCAAACCAACATTGAGCGTACCTCGAATGTACCTCAAAATCCATCTCACAGCGTCCCAATGACCCACTCCTGAATCGTGCATGTATCTCGAAACCATGCTCACCACCTGTGACAAATCCGGCCTCGTACATACAATCGCATACATCAAGCTCCTAACCGCACTCGTATATGGAGTCTTCGACATCAACTCTCGATCTTTAACTGACTTTGATGAAAGACCAGCTGAAAGCTTCAAATGGGCTCCTAATGGTACACTAACTGGCTTCGTATCCTGTTGGTGGAAAATTTGCAGTAAAAGAAATGAAGGAAAATTGATTTGTATTCCTTTAATCTCAATTACAATTGGATTTCCTGATTACAAAAGAGAAGAGAATTGATGCAAACCCTCCCCTTTGTTTAAGTCTGGGTTCTTCACGGTGGCGATGAAGTGCCTCCCTCGAATGCTCGCGTCGAGTTTGCTCTCCGTTGACGATCCGCACGTCTTGATTCACTGGAACGGTATCTCCTCCTCACGATTTGACGTTGTGGAGAACTCTGAACGAGTTTGAAACTCTATGAAAGAGTTGATTTAACCGAAATCGGTCTATAAGCCAAGGATGAAGAAAGCTCATGTTGCTGATCTCCAAAGCTCCAGCAATTCTCCCCAAAAGATCTCTTCTTTGCTACCAAAAAGAAGGATGAAAGATCCAGCCCCAAAATCCAGCCCCAAAGATTCAGTCCCTGCTGCCAAGGAGTCCCAACAGACCGAACCCATGAACTGAATTGATTTTCAGTTATTTATAGGGGATTAAGGGGTGTAACCACCTCCTTAATTCGCTCCTAAGTGGGGCTAATGGGATGTAACCGCCCCCTTAAATCACTCCTGAGTGGAGTTGTGATCCCCTCAGATCATGGGAAACTGTTTTGAAACTGTTCAGCTCGTGTTTGAACGAGTCAAACGTAAAATCCGCGTTCTGATGTGAATTCTGCGTTCAAACACAGTGTCTGGAAGCTTGAACGTAGTGTTTGAAAGCTCGGACGCAGCGGCTGGAAGCTGCGTTGGCATCTTGTTGGAAGCTGCGTTTGGCATCTTATTGGAAGCTGCGTTTGGCATCTTGTTGGAAGCTGCGTTTGGCAGCTTGGAAGCTGTGTTTGGCAGCAGATGGAAGCTGCGTTGGCAGGATTTAAGAGCTGTGTTTGGCAGCGGATAGAAGCTGCATTGGCAGCTTTGGAGGCTGCGCTTGAGCTGCGTTCGTGGCTATGAACATGGTGCGTCTTGATGCTGGTTCGCGGGGAGGACTTCCACGTCTTGGTTTGAAGAGACCGTCGATTTGTAGTCTCTTTCTGTCAGAACGTTGCAAAGATCATCATTTTGTAATCTTTGCTTTAGCTCTTTGATATGTGAGAGTCGTCAGATTGTAACTCCCGATGTTGATTGTGGAGGCTTCTGGAAGTCGTCAGAGTGTAACTTCCATCATCGGTGTTTTGATGAGGATCAGCTATCTATTGTGATTTTTAGACAGCCTACATATCCATGCTAACATGGAATCGCTATAGAACCTTCTTTAAATAAGCCACTTGTGTCAAACAAATTCTGCCCTTCTTCTTGTCTCTGCCGATCTTCATCCCTAGAATGCGCTTCGTCTCTCCCAAGTCCTTCATCTCAAACTCATTTGAAAGTTGAACTTTCAACTCATCTATAGCCGACCTGGAAGTGGAGGCAACCAACATGTCATCGACATAAAGTAATAAATAGATGTACGCACCTCCTTTCAACTTACAAAAATATACGCAAGGATCAAACTGGCTCCGAGTGTACGAATGACCAAGCATAAAACCATCAAATCGCCTATACCACTGTCGAGGAGACTGCTTCAAACAGTCTTTAATCTGCAAACCAACTTATCTTTCCCTGCAGCTCAGAATCCCAATGGCTGAGTCATATATATTTTTTCATCAAGATCACCATGAAGAAATGTCATTTTCACATCCAATTGATCAAACTCCAAACCATACTGTGCCACCAAAGCTAGCAAAATCCGAATAGAAGAGTGCTTCACCACCAGAGAGAAAACCTCATTATAGTCAATACCTTCCTCTTGTGCATAGCCCTTCGCAACCAACCTAGTTTTAAACCTCAATGGAGTGCCCTCAATGCCCTCCTTCTTCGTGTATACCCACTTGCAACCAATTGCCTTCCGCCCCTTTGGAAGCTCAACAAGCTCCCATATATCGTTCTTATGAAGAGATTCCATCTCCTCCTGCATAGCCTCCTGCCACAAATCAGCCTCCGAACTCTGCTCGGCCTCTCTGAATGTAGTAGGCACCAACTCATCGATACTCTCCACCGAAAGTGCATACACAACTGTGTCGGCATACCGTGCTGGCATCTGTATGTTTCTCCTCCGTCTCCGAACCGCAATCGAATCCTGAACCTGAGTCGTCGGTCTCTGATCCTGCATATTAGTACCCGTATCCCCCGTGTCATCATCGTGCTCGCCTAGCGTCACCTCAGTCGGCACTCTAATGGATACTGTACCATCTGGATAATATGGAGCTGCATCGATCTCCACCACCTGCGATATCTCCTCTGTCGGGTCGCTCTCCATCTGATGAGAGCTGGGAAGCTTCAAGATAGAAGCCTCATCAAACGTGACGTCCCTAC